AGAAATGCGTATGTGCACCACGACAAAAGAGCCTCATTCACTTTACATTGGGGTTGTTTGCGTGGTGCCGACACGTAAATGTAACAAAGTTCGTGACTCCACCACGCAATGCGGTGTTAAGGAGTCGTGGTGAAGTCACGCATTCTGGTGAGATCAGGTTGAAATAGCCTACATATCAATACAAAACCATGGTCGCTTAACGTGTCAAATTGACTTGAATTTGTAAGATTGTTAGCATGCCTTGCCTTTGTTTCGTCAGCGTGTCACATCATGTATAAACCATCCGTTGACACTAAAGATTTTAAACTTTACCAACAGCCCAGTGCTTGTATAAAAATACAGATGGCAAAGACCAATGTATGTAAGGGTCAGCATTTGCTAATTTTATCTATAATTTCTTATTTTCTCTAAAACCTTAACTGGTGCCACCAGAATACCTTGAAAGTTGCTGTTTTTGCGCAGTTGCTTCAACATTGTGATTCATATCTGTGGTGAGGACTTGTGTGGGATAATTACGTTTACTTTCTTACTCAGCACACGAGCCAAAGTGTTTACAGCTGGGATGTTTCCTTGTGAAATGTTGCAGGTGTCAGCTGCTGACTTGCATCTCTTGTGCAATCATACAAAAACACTGCACCAACCCCCCAAATCTGATAGCAGCTAAACATATCACTGTCACTCTAGCACCCTTTATGTTCATATAATCTGTCAGACAGCATATGATTAACATCACTTAAAAGGTTTTCAGGTGAGCAGAAAAGTTAGACACATTACAAATTACATTTAGAATATCCCATTCTTTCATTAGCCGGGTCATTCTACAGAAAATGTGGAAGTACTGTCACTTACTTTTGCAGACACCAAAATACATGACGTTGATCTAATACTCACATTCATTATGTATGTTGAATAAATAGAGATTGTCTTTGCAATGGTACTAAATTAAAAAATTGAAAAAATTGTTTTATACATAAATTGCAATTTATTTAAAATGCCAAGTTCAAGGAACTGCCTTGTCACTTTGACCATACATGGAAGTGTATAGTTTATTTAAAATATATTTTTTTCAATAAATAAATCTCATTCATATTTACATAACATTACATACATTAAATATAACACTGAAATGGTAAAACAAAAAACGCAAATGATTACTAATAATATCCAATAAATGTCAGTCACCCAAAATGACGTCATTGGTGTTACTGCTACACAAAACGCTTTTATTTTTGAAATAATGTACTGTCTCTGAAATGCCTCCTGTAACAAGAGATCATTTGAGGCAGTGCAGTGGACAAAGACATAAGGAAAGTCAGATACTTCTTAAGGCCCTGACACACCAAGCAGTCACCAGAGGACTCGCCGACGCCGACGTCGGCTGTTGCGTCGTGGTGTTCTCCTGCGTCTTGGCCATGTGTCGCACGGGAACACACCGCAAAGACTTCAGTGCGTGAGTGGCAATAACTCTCCTTACCAGCAGGCGGCGGTAGTGTGTATTCGTCATTAAAAATAGGCAACAACCGGAAGACAGAGAAGAAGAACAGACTGCGTGATATAAACAACAACAAATAGCGTGTGCAAACCAAGCCCCCAGGAAGTGCGCCGGACTCAGATGAAAATATTCGTGCTGGCCAAACGGCGGTACTACACTTCCGTTTGGTTGCCAGGCCCGGAAACACTTTTTCCCATTGACTTACATGGGGAAAGAGTGGTCTGTAACTCGTTGGATAATTTTTTTTTAACTAAATAAACTACCCAGTATGAACAGCCCTTATTAAAAACATTCGTTCCTCAAGTTGTAAAAATTTGCTAATAACGTTATTCTGAGAGTTATTTCCCTCTGCATTATGAACGCGCATCTAACCCACGGGACCGCGCCGCCCGGCACGTTCATGTTACGTGTCCCGAGTCCCGACCAATCAGAGCACACTGTGCTCACAATGGAGGGTGGGGCTGGAGCTATTGGAGCTACAACGAGCCGTTAAAGGCAGAGAGTGAAATTCATTGAATACACGTAGTTTACAGAGATGCTGTATGAGAAACCAATGTGAGTTGCGTTTATCTTTACCCATGGATGCACAATAAGAACGGATCCATATCGTCTTACTGCCATCTCACGGAGCTGTAATAATGGATATATTGCACATGTTTGCTATAATTCATTATCATACTACATGGGCTGTATGATTAAATCTTGTACCGTAAATGTTGTATTAAATAAAGTTAATATTACCGACATTATTAACGTCCCTGTAGCTTCGTATTGCACTAAGAAGCTTATTGCACTGTATATAAATATATATATATATAGGCTACAGTGCAATAATTATTTCATGCTAAATGAAGCTCTGTTGGATATCACTAGATCCTGTTACAGCGTAATATAAGTACATAACGATTGATGTGTACATTAGCATCATTACTAGCTAGCCGCTAGCTAATATCTGCCGCCTCGTTAATATCAAATCCATGATAACAACAATCCATTACCATGCTGTCATGAACGCGCGGTGCTGTTACGTGTACGCAAATTGACGTGCTTGATGTGAACGAGCATTTTGGTTAAAGTTGCGCATGCTCTATGAGTGCACATACGGGTACTTCTCAGGCATGCTGGGTAATCTGTGACGTATCACTCTCTCAAAAGTTGAGCCATTTGATCATCATGCGCTAATGAGCAGCTCTCATAGGAATGAATGAGGCCCCGCCTCCCACGCTGTATCCAGTTCTTATTATACATCCATGGTGCAAACTCCAGCCTGGTTATGATCCACTGCTGTCTGCCAGTCCTTTGTGCTCCACAACTACCCGAAGGGGCAAGTGTCCTGTACCGGGTGTACTGGGTTCGCAGAGAATCCCATTTCTTCCTCAGCTCTTTCTCTGAAGCACACAAATAAACGATGTAACCATTGTGGCTAGTTAGCATGTCCAATTCATATCTATATGCAGTGCCAAACTGCACAGCTAGCAACAGCTAGCAACAAGATAACAACAAAACACAAGGTTGAAATAACAAATTACATTTCACGTTAACGTCACTGTACGCTGGCAAACAATAAAAAGCCAACAATATCTGCTAAAGAGCTCAATTGATGAAAAAGATAATCTTACCCGAGAAACCAAGTTGCGTTTCAATCTCTCGCCAGAGTCCGGTTTTCACTACTCGGTTCGAGTACCTTTTCTCTGTGATGTCGTACAGAGCTGGCCTCTCCTGGATCAATGTGGTGAGCAGGTCTTCGCTTGCGTCATTCCAGATCGCCATGATGAGATGAAAATGAATATCAGTCTGTGTGTGCCTTCTTAAATCGTTTGTTTACGTCCCTCACTTCCGTTTAGCTTCTCATGCACTGATTCGCTAGCTGAACAGCCAATCAGAGTGATTGTTTGATCCGACTGCCAGACCCGATGCATGGCCGATTCAACATGTTGAATCGGCCATGCATCGGGACAGGCAGTCCAAATAAGGCGTGTCACGGTCGACGGTGCGGGACACACCAAATTGAGTTTGGGCGACAGGACACGCTTCGTCTCCCGACTTACGAAAACAGCCGAAATCGGCCTGGTGTGTCAGGGCCTTTACTTTGTTTGTTAAAGGTGTCATTTTATCTTCAAATTTTACATGCGTCTTTCAAGTCTGTCATTAGTGTTACTCATTGCATAGCCCTAGGGGTGAACATTTGAATGGGAAAATGTATTGAAGAGTTAAACGATTTTGATATTGACTGAAGCCATATTTGGTCTGACACATGGCAGCCATTTTGTTAAAATGGTAGTGCTGGTGTTACTCTTCTTCCTGTAACACGTAACACCAGTGACGTTCCTATATAAATAAGCTTTGTATAATGTATAGAAATAATAGAAATAATAGAAATATTTAAGCTCTACTTGTTGTGGATTCATCAAGTTAAGTTAGTTATTGCTATTTAACAGGTTTTAGATATGTTTAGAAGGAATATATTTCAGCAGATTTGTATCACCCAGATTCCACCTTTTCTGTAGAATGACTTAGTTCACACCGCAGTACTTTTCTCACTTTAGTTCCGATATAGTTCCGAAACGTCACGTTCACACCAAAAAGAGCCGGAACTAAAATGAGTTAATCGGAACCTTTTTTACCCCCTTTTCCATCCCTGCTAGAGAGCAGGGACTTTCGTGGGAGAAAAAGGTTCCTATTTCTGATTGGCTGGGCGGATTGCAAACCACGCCCCGTAAAACTCCCAAAAGTTTTTGTGAAGCCGCCATTTTATTATCCTCGCATTAGCATTAGCCCAGCGCACAAACGTAGAGAGACTAACTTATGGCAACACAAAAGAAAACATGGTAGCGGTGGAGATGAGGAGGTGTCGGCGTTCTGGCGATTTACTCGGAAGGCTTCAGTAGAAGCTGCTGGGAGTCTCAGCAGCTTCTACTGAAGCCAGTCCCCAACTCCGGGGACTTCGGGTGGCAGTATACGCCGTGAAGTTGTTTGCGGCCTGCCAGTAAACCCAAAGCAGAAGAAAAAGAAGTGACGTCAGCGGCTTCATGAGAACTAAAGAGTTCTCATGAACTAAGTTCTCATTAACCTTTGTGGGAAAAGTACTGTGGTGTGAATGCGCCTATTCTCTAGCAAAAATGCTAATTAATATTGCTTGAAAAGTGCAGTATCTTTTAGAAAAACGAAAAGATATGTCCATTAGATGTTTAAAGGTGATATTCTTGATCCTCCTCGAATATACTGCTTCTAGGATAAATGACTGCTTTTGGAAAATTTGATTTTGGTTCAGGCAAACCAACAAAGCACAGATGTAACAATTAAACTGAAAAAAACATCTAACTGTGTGTTGCATTAATGATATTTCTGTTGAACAGGAGGTGATGATGTACAATAAATTGCACCAATTGCAGTTGCCAATCCTACGCTGGAGAATGTAGAAGTTTTGGTTACATCAACACCATATTTCCTTATGTACTGTATGCTCCAAATAACTACCCATGATTGCCAAGAAAAAAGACAAAAAACATTTGCCAATTAGAATATTTATAGAAAAATCAGTATCAACATGCATTCACTTTCATTCTGTTGAATTTTTCCAGCGAAGAGCAGCAATTCAAGGGTAACAGTTATTCCAGCATTATTACATTTGTTTAAGAGCATTAATTGAAATCCATATAGGAATATCAGTACTTAATCATAATAAAAATTAACAATTTTAAAAATTGAAATTAAAGAATAGCAGGTAATAAAAAATGACAAAATTGAACAATTGAAATATGTAACAATGAATAAAACAGTTCTTATATACAGAATAAAACAAGTAAAAACATGAAATGAGTCGTAGTGCAGCAGGACCCGTCCAGTCATCTGGAAGGAGGGCTTAGAAAGGACCGTTTGTAACATGAGAAATGTTTGATTTAGCCTTTCCTTCCTTTTTCTGAGATTAGGGTTTAGCATATGGATATCAAATGTTTTAAATGTAGTTGTACCATATTTTAAGCAATTTCATCACATTTTTCCTTATTTGTTTTGTAGTTATAAATGTTATGTCATCTATATTTCAATACAGCTTCTCAGTTATGCAACACCTCACATATGCTGCATTTCTTATCAATCCTGTGATATGTTTACTGACATTAAGTGACAAAGATAACAATTATAGATAATATTGGTCTTGGAGCTGCCTAGATTCAATATCACATAAACAGTCTTTATAAAAATGAAATGCTCTTTGCATTGCAAAGAGTCAATCAAATGAAATGACATCAGTTTGAAGGCCTATTCAAGAAATGATCTGAATATGAAACAGTACAAAATTATACATCAATAGAAATGCTTTGCGAGTATGATGCTCTTTGATCATTTACTTTTCGTAAACAAATTATTAAGAAATGCATTTCATTCAATCAAGATACAGCAAGGCCAATGTCATTCAATGCCATGCCTGCTTATGATATTTCTAATGTACAGTATTTTAGTAAATTATGTACCAATATACATTTGTTGAACAACTATGAGAGTTCATTTTAAGAAACACGAGTGGTTCTGTTAGTGCATTATCCTTTCCTATACTTTGTTCAAGTCATCTAGCAACAGTAAAAATGTATTATTTTAAAGGGTCAATTCAGACATTTAGGTGCTGTTTACACGGGAACGAAACGGGTTGTATCTGCTACTTTTCTCTTTCGTATAGCCCGTTCGTTCACACGAGGCCATAACGGAACCACGGAAATGGACCCCTAAAACGATAACGGGTCCCAAGGTGGATAGATCTGCAAACGGAACGCTCTGGGGGGCCAAACGGCTCAGTGTGTACGCCCTATACGATCATTTCCTGATAACGATGAAGCCATAGCCCCGCCTCTCCCCACCTCTGCTGCTCACTGCTGTGGCATGGTCAGTAGCTACTGTCAGTAGCTACTGACCATGCTACAGATGTTAGTGCAAAATCTACAGCTCCTCTACCACAACCATCAGCAACAAGTGGACATGGAGAACTACATGAACTACATGTTGCTAAATCCACCGCGGAGAATAAACAGAAGGGCAACCAGGCAACCATGGCAGCCATGCTCGGGGGTCTTCTTCGCTGCTTTTGGTGTATTTTGTGGTGGAAGTACAGCGCCACTTACAGGCACGGCGTATGTACTACAGCGTCTCCAGCGGTCTCGTGTGAAGGGACCCGTTTATTGAGCCGTATCCGTGTGAACGGAAGACTTTTTTGATATCGAATTCGGTTTGTTTGCGTTCCCGTGTAAATGCAGCCTCAGATAGTGCTAAGAGTAAAACAGTTAGGATGTCTTATTATTATTATAATTAAGTGTATTTGTGTGAACCAACCCTTTACAGTATTATCTTAGGTTAACAGTGCTACAGCCTAGTCCAGTTATTCTTTTTAAACATTATTTGTATGGCCAGAGTACCGTTACAGCCACAGTGTTCTCCTCATGACGCTGAGTTAGAGTTGTGTGTACAGCATGAGAGTAGATGTGTCAGCGGGGTTCCTCACGCTCTGAAGCTCCAGCTCCTCTGGAAGGGCTGGAAAGGTTTCCTGAGGAACATGAGGTGAGGTTTGAGTCGTGGGGCTTTCTCAGGCAGTGCAGCAGCTTTGCTTTCCTCCGTGGGAAATCGATAGTTATAGACGTCCGGGTACGACCTCTGGAACTGAAACGGAAAGGATATGCATCATTACAGTATAACTTCATAAAGGGCCTCTGAGATCTATATTTAATGACATTTCACTTTTAAAACATATTAGTCCAGCCCTACCTGTTTGAGGCGTTTCCTCTTGTCCTTGGCAGGGAGTTCTCTGTCTGCGATCAGGCCCTCCAGCAGCGCCTGCAGCGGGGTCTGCGTTCCTATCACCCTCTGCTCCTCCGACTCCACCCTGCGAATCTGTTTACAGAAAGCTGGGGAGGCGCTGAAGTCTGTGTCTGAACCCGCGTATTTGATCTGATGGAAGGCACAGAGGAAATGTTGGAGACATATTTAGTGATGCACCAACACAGCTGTCGCCCAAAGTACAATATTCTGGATATTTGCTCACTTGTTATTTTATGAAGAAATAAAGGTAAAGTGCATTTGAAATGTTCTTATTCACTGCATTATCGCCAGCAAATGATGTAAACCCACAACACTCAAGGTCAAAAGTTATAAAGTAAATAAGCAAAATATCTTCTAAAAACATACAGCCAGTTAAGCCCCTGTCACACTGTCCCGAAATTGACACCAGACGGACACACGATGAAGGAAATGTTCAAATGTGGCTCTGATCGTAACAACATCCGGCCATTCGTGAGGACATCTTAAAGGTCCCAGGTCATGGCCATTTCTACTGATCATAATTCCATTGTTGAGGTATACTAGAATGGATTTATATTGTGACATTTTCCAAACACACATTGGTTTCTCATACAGCATCTCTGTATAGTATGTGTATTCACTCTCTGTCCTACACGGCTTGTTGGAGCTTCTGCCCCCCTCCCCCTGCCTGATTGGTCAGCTCGCCCACTCTGTTCTGATGAGATCACCACCGTTACAGCGGAACATCAGTGATTATGTGTTACAATTAGGGTTGCAAAATTCCGGGAATTTTCAAAGATGGAAGCTTTCCATGGGAATTAACGGGAATAAACGGGAATTTCAAAATTGAAGGTTGGCTCTTCATAGGAAACTTAAATATAGTTGGGGAAAGTATATTTTAGCATAATTTTGACTAAAACAAACAGATGCCATTCAAGTACACTTGAATATCCATGCCATAGCACACTGCTTACTGCATGGCTATTGAGACCACAGAAAGGTCCGCAACAGGCTCACAAATGTGAGAGTGGAAAAACTGGTTGGCATCCGGGCAAACCTAAGGCTCTCTGAGCCATCCTCAACAAGGCTGGACAGTGACACTGAAGAGGAAGACTCAGAGTGTGATGTTGATGAGGCCCAGGAAGAGCCCATTGACTGAAAGGGTTTAGCAAAATTGCAGAGGATTGCTTGATGGAAGATTTGCATGTTTAATGGGACTTTTTGGAGGGAGAAGGGCTCTTTTCATTTAACATTTTGAATGGGACTTTGTGGGGATTTTTGGATGGGGGGTGCATTTTTCAATAAGTGAGGTTGGGGGGGGGGTGAGTAATATTTAACTCAACATTCCTGTTTTCGTTCTTCAATTAAACAAATTAGGGATGCTCCGATCGATCGGTCACCGATCGAGATCGGCCGATACTCACTCTCTACCGATCGATCGGTGCTCTCTAAACATGTTGATCGCGAGAGCCGATCGCATGACGTAAAATACATGACACTTTTCTCTGTGCGCGGCAAAACAAGCTCGCCAAAATAGCTTCACCGGTCTGGCATTATTTTAAGGTGTCCGAAAAAGACAGTAAAATAGCGGAATGCAACGTGTGTGAAGCAGAAATCCTGCAGCTCCGCCCGCCGGACAGGTGAGCGGAGCGAAACACACCCTAAGAGTTAGACCTAACACACTTAGCTATTTTATCTACCTTTGGAACAAGATAAACTAGTCATTATAAATATATGTATTCTTCACTGTCGGGTCACTCATTACTGGATCAGTGAGCTGCATGAGATACTGACAGGCTGTCAGGAGAGGGAGAGAGGGGGAGAGAGGGGGGAGAGAGAGAGGGAGAGAGGAAAAGAGAGCGCTTCCGCTAATTTCTCCCGTATTATTATCCAAAGTGAATGTAAACTTGAATAATGTACATCATTTGAATGTAATAATTAAGTTGATTGTTGTTTGTGGAAGCTCCAGTGAATGAGCCCCATTAACTGAGTTTTAAACATCACTTTAAAGTGGAAGATTTAAAGTGATGTTTAAATCTTCCATTTAGGCCCCGCCCACTCGATCGGATCGGCATCGGCCGATACTGATTGCGGCGATCGGCCCCGAAATTGGCGATCGGAGCATCCCTAAAACAAATAATGTTTCAATAAAATAATTAACACTTGTTCTTTTCTACTTAAAAAAAAAAATCTCTTGAAATTTCATGTTTTTTGTTTAAATTTGCATCGAATATTTCCAAAATTCCCCAGCTTAACTTCCCATGGAAACTTTCCGGAAATGTTCCGCCCCTTTGCAACCCTAGTTACAATGGCGTTAATATTCTGATATTGTACATTTCGGAGGCTGAATTCTGATTGGTTAGGATCTAGTCTCTTAATAATTGTCCCGTTACCCATACAGTGGCTAACTGGTTATATATGCTCCCCAGAACCATTTAAGTGTGACAATTAAGGGGGTCCTATTATGCATTCCTGTAGTGTGTTATATAGGTGTCTGTGCATGTAAAGGGTCTGCAAAGGCTAAAATCACAACATTCCCTCCAGAGGGAGTTTCTCTCCCACCATTTACAGCTTCTCATTGACAGCGGGGGAGTTTAAGCCTATGCTTCCACTGTTGGATGAAAAGATCAAATCAAGCATTTCCAAACAATGTTGACAGTCAATATAGACTGTGTTCTATTTTTTATGATCTGCCTGCCAAAATAAAACACATGCACACATCAAGATGAACTAAATGTGCACAGATGGCTAAAATAAAAGGAACAAGAGCCCTCTGACTACATAAAGGCGATCAACAGAAAGCACAAAACTCTCACTCGGCCTGTCTCAAGTTGAATGAAGTTGAGCTTAAATTCAATCCAGGAAAACTACCATCACCTTCAGTCACTCAATTCTGTGTGTGTGTGTCCGTGCGTGCGTGCGCACGTGTGTGTGTGTGTGTGTGGGAGAGAAACTCCATATAGAGGGAACTTGGGGACTTAAGCCTTTGCAGACCATTTACATGCACAGAAACCTATATAACACACTACAGCAGTGTTTCTCAAAGTGGGGGTCCCGTAGAGGCATGACAGGGGGAAAACATTTTATGATTTAAAAAAAAAACTGTTTGTGTCGTGTAGTTACACTTAGAAACCTATGAGGGCGCTGTAGGACACAGGTGTGTAATGTACATGATGAGGATGGAAGGTCAAGCCTGTAACCCTGCCAAACAGGCTCATTGCAGTCACTAATGCTGTGATAAGAAAGACACACTTTTTTGCCAAATATCAGCATTTTCTTTCTTTTCATTTTTTGAACAGATTGCAAAGTGGCAAAGTATTATAACTTATTGTTCTAGCAAAGGGAATGCACAATTGTATTATGTATTATTATTTTTGAGCACACAGTCCTATGTTTTATTATCACTGTTCTAGCAAAGTGATTTTTTTTAAAGGAATTCTCATGTTCATATTGATGTATTTAAAAAAATGTTAACTTGGCCCATTACGTGACTATTTGTGTTGGGGGGGGCCGACTTTTTTCCCCCCCCAACAGATAAAGTTGGAGAACCACTGCACTACAGTAAAGGGAGAACCCAAAAAAAGCACAATAGGGCCCATTTATTCAAAAATCTTTGAACTACGAACTAGCTTGTAAATGCGAAACGGTATTTGTTTACAGATCATGTAATTAATAATTTAGTCAAGCTTTTCAAATGAGACCAAAGCGAGGGGCAGAGAGAGCTGCCAAGAAACATACACAAACAGAACAGCAAAATACAAAAAAGTCCAGTGAATGTGTCACTAAAGATGCTGGAGACTAAACCATCAAGAGGAATACAGTTAATGCCTAAAATGTTTCCAACTCTTAATAACAGAGAGATCCATGGCTTTATGAGGCTAGGCTTTCATTAATATATTAATGTCTCCCCACTTCGTGCTTGGCAAGAGGATGGAACCATCCGGCACATTGAGGCACAAATAAGGCTTCGTCACACAGTCATTAATGAATTGAAGGCTTAGAGAGTGAACTGACTTGAGCTCTCTTCAGGTGGGACAGGTGCTCCTGGACCTGGCTACGCAGCTTTGCAGGGACTTGGAAGATGGTGTTGTGGTGCTCCATCATGAAGGTCACCAGTTTGGTGGAGAGCAGCTCGTCCAGGTCCATCTCATCCACAGAGCCCAGGACGCAGTGGGAGAACATCTGCACCATCTGGACCAGAACACAACGAGAGAAGAGTTAACAACACTTTTGCAAAACTTTTAATATCTCAGTTTTGTATGCATGAAGTGTTACAGATTGGGCATGTTTTGAGCTTTCCAGTTTTATCTAGACAACAAATGTTAACTTTATATATTCTGAATTGCTGATAAAACATCCGATCAGATATGCCTGTTTTGAATTCAGTGAAAGGACACTCATTTCAGATCTCATGATTCCATACTGCTGGTAGCAGATAGCATCTAGGGCTGTATTGTATGTATCTTTTTTTGTAAGATCTTTTTTTATTAATATAAAGTCCATGCCTATTTTTGTGCACAAACGGAAAGAGCTTTTTAACCGCAGTGTTTTTTTTAAAGGCTAAACACTAAGAAATAAGGATTGAAACATAATTACGAAAATGTTGACTTTTGAAATTGACATTCCACGTGTAGTCTGAAATGTTTGCGAAAATAATAATTATAATAAAGCCATTACTTGAATGCAGTTTTAAAAATAGTGTAGGAGCCACATATGAAGCCATTTCTGTGTTTGTTACGATACATGTTTTTTTGAGTCATTATAGGTGGTGGGCGTGTCATTGGATTTGTGTGGTGACGTTTGTGCTTATATCCGGTTGCTTTTACCTGCGCACTTTGTAATAGATGGGGGAGTGAGCTAGAGAAGGACAATTTTTGTTGACCGCACGCATACAAGGATATACGTATATGGATATGGAATATTGCATTTTTGCTTTGGAAATAAAAAGTCAAACGCATACTGTGTTGGAAAGACTGAGTTTTTGCGCGTCCAGTGTTTTTTCTCTTGTTTAGTCCCTCGCGGCACTTTGTTTAAGATTACTGCCGCAATATTAAGTCAACAAAAAAGACTTGTACCACAGCGTGGATCTATGGAAATCGAGGCTACGGAGATTCCTAGGATTGATCTGTGACGCTGTGGAATTAAAAGGAAACATTGAAACGCCGTGTTCGCCGCTGTATTGGAGAGCGGCTTAAGGAAATGTCAGCGTACTGCCGGTAGGATAAAGAAAGAATGACGGACAATCCACACAGCATCAGGAGCGAGCGGTATGTAACTTCTTCATTCATGCTGTGTAAATGTTTGTTAGAACACAGTGTGAATAAGTTACTGCTGCGGGTCCATTGGGGACTGACTTGTTGCTTGCGTGTGTTGGTTTTTGCCGCTAGAGGTTGTATGGATTGGAGCATTTGTTGTTCATTCATTAAAACATTAAAAGGATATGTCAATAAGTGGATCAAATTCAGATGTCAATGTGGCAAAAATGGATGAACAAAAGAGAGAGTCGATACTCACTGCCAAGGCTTTGGCAAATAAAATGGAAAAGCTCCAAAAGGAACATCAATCAAAGGTTCACAAAATGAAAAGTGTGATTAAAACAATGAAGGATCTCATGCAAAGGGATGACAACGCCTCACAAATACAAACTCAACTTGAACATGTAATTCAACTAGTTAAAGAAACCATCCTGTTACACAAGTCTGTAATTCCTCTTCTTCCTGCAGACGAACAGGAAAACATTTTTTTATGATTTGCCAAGACACTGAAATACAATAATGGATTTATCGACGATGTCAGGCAATGGCTTTCTGAAACTAGGAGACAACCGAGCAGCACCATTGCACATGTTCCCTCAATTGAGATATCTGATGAACACCAGCAAAGTATGTCTCATGTTGCAAAACACTCTTGGAAAATGTTGAAACTTCCGAAGCACAAGATGAAATAAAACCAAGCGACAGTGTTTCAAACATAGGAAGCATTGGGTCTTGCAAGCGGAGCTCTGCTGGAACCAGGTCCAGTGTTTCAACTACATCATCATGCATCAAAGCTGAGGCTGACATGGCCGCTCTCATGGCACGACAAATGTTATTAAAAGACAAGCATGCATTGGATGAACAAAAGGAAGAGCTCAGGAAAAAGAAGGAAGAGCTCAGGAAACAGAGGGAGCAACTGGAAATGGAAGTGGAAATAGCCGCATCAAGGGCTAAAATGAATGTGCTAAGACGCTCTGGAAGGTCTCGTGCTGCAAGTAACACATCTGTGAGTCCCAATGGCATGCATTCTTATTTGGAAAGGGGACGAAAGGAAGCCACACTCAGTGCTGGAGCAAAAACATTTGTGCCTGACACAAACAGGCCCACAGGTGGCCAGTCTGACGCACAGTTTTCTCACAGAGAACATGAAGTAGAATATGGACATCTGCAACATCAAGCCACAAGAAACTCAGAGGCCAATATACATCAAAGTTCAACACAATCACATCCACAGTTACAGCACCAAAGCAATCACCCAGCAGCACTGGCACTAGGGTTGGGAACCGAAACTCGGTTCCAGATGAGAACCGATAAGAAAATGCCGGGTACCGGGTACCCATACAAAATACACAATTTCGGTTCTGCTTAACGGTTCCTAAACACGGTAGACCCTGTATTCCAGCGGGTCCGTCTGCACCGCGGTGCTGCGGTGACCCGGTGGAATACAGGGCGGACCTGGAGAATCACAGAACGGCCGGTCGTCAGCGTGCCGTTGACGGCCGGCTCGGTACGCTGACGGCCGGCACCGCCCTTCATTTTTTTAAACGGCATCATATAAATTGCGCTGACAGGCGACAGAGGTCCACAGTTGCCCCGCAGCGATGCTCCGCCGCCCTCCCGTAGACATTTCACGAGCTCAGTCACTTCATAACACCAAAGATAGGTCGCGGTAAACACTCTGAAGTGAGGCTCCACTACACTAAAAAATAAAAATAAAAGGCAAAGTGTAATGCCTGTTAATAGTTTGCCACAGGCATAGCTCAGTTAAAATAAAGCACAGCTATTGTGCAATACATTTGTATTGCATGTATATTTTTTAGTAACAATTTCAGTTAAAGCTTTTAAGAATAAATATATTTTTGTTATCTAAACGTTTGACCTCTTTATTTTACAATTTTGGAATCGAAACGGGGAATCGATAAGAACCGGAATCGATAAGCAGAACCGGAATCGAAATCGGAATCGATAAATTTCAAACGATACCCATCCCTAACTGGCACCAAGCAGCAGTGCTCAGAATCCTTTAATTAATGTCTTAGAAAGACAAAATGAAATAACATCCATGTTGGTTCAGCAACAGTCTCTTTCTTTGCTGCCTAAAAGAGAAATTCAGATTTTTGATGGCTCTCCGTTTCAATATCAAGCATTCATAAGAGCTTTTGAGCACAGCATTGAGGAGAAGACTCACAATCCGAAAGACTGCCTGTATTTTCTCGAACAGTACACCAGGGGGCAGCCTTTGGAGCTTGTCAGAAGCTGTCAGCATATGGCCCATGACAGAGGATATGCCAAAGCAAAGGCTTTGCTACAGGAGCATTTTGGTAATGCACAGAAAATTGTTTCAGCTTACATGGAAAAGGCTCTTTCATGTCAGCCAATAAGAGTAGAAGATGTGTGAGCTCTGCAAGCTTACGGTCTCTTTCTGAGAGGATGCTGCAACGTCATAGAAGAGTTTGAATACATGTGTGAGTTGAACATGCCTAGCAATATGCTAGCCATCATAAAAAAGTTGCCCTACAAATATAGGGACAAATGGAGAACTCTGGCCTATGACTTACAGAAAAGGCAAGGCCGGAGAGCTACATTCATGGATATTGTTAACTTCATTGAAAGACAGATGGATATTGTGAGCGATCCACTGTTTGGAGATATACAGGATACTCCACCAACAGCCAACAAAGATGTGAGGAAAGCTAAGTTTGAACCTCGTTCAAGGATGAGGGGAAGCAGCTTTGCTACTACTATTACGACAGCGGAAAAGAAAGTGGAACCTGGAATAAGAATGAAGGAGAGAGGCTCACTAAATACAAGTGTTTGCCTGTTTTGTGGAGGTGGACATACACTGGATCTGTGTTTTCAACTGGAAAGAAAGGCTCATAGTGAGAAAATCGCTTTCTTGAGGGAACATGGTGTGTGTTTTAGATGCTCGTGTATTGGGCACATGAGTAAAGACTGCAGGAAATGCCTCTCGTGCAAAGTATGCAGTCTGAAGCACCCAAGCATACTTCATATCTATCAGAAAGAGAAAGAAACTGACACAATGCAAGCTAAAGGAAAAGCTATAAGCAGTGCTCTGATCTCCGTTCAGTCCAGTGGTCTTACAGGGGCCGGTGAGCCAGATTGTACTCTCTCCATAGTGCCTATTCAAGTAAAGTCTAAGAAGGGACATGAAACAATCATAACATATGCCTTCCTGGATCCTGGGAGCTCAGCATCATTCTGCACGGAGCGGCTGATGAACAAACTGAATCTCAGGGGAAGAAGAACAGACATTCTCCTTCGGACAATGGGTCAGGAGAAAATAGTTGGAAGTCACATTGTTTCTGACCTGCATGTGGCTGGATTAGACAGCAGTCATTATTGTGAGCTGCCTGACACCTACACCCAGAAAACTATGCCAGTTCATCGAGGCAACATTCCTCGGCAGAAAGACCTTCAGAGATGGCCACACCTGAAACATGTAATGATTACTAAGATTGATTCAGATGTGGACCTGTTGATTGGGACTAATGTTCCTGAGGCACTGGAGCCATGGGAAGTTATTCGGAGTGTAGACGGGGGCCCATATGCAGTTGGACTGTCAATGGACCTGTGTTGGACTGTCAATGGACCTCTCAGAGGAGACAGGAGTAGTGAAATTACTTGTGGACAGCCAGATGTCACTGTCAATAAGTTGATGGATGGCCATTACTGTATTGGCTTACCTTTAAGGAAAAGGGATGTTAGTATGCCAAACAACAGGAGAGTAGCAGAACAACGTACACTGAGCCTCAAGAGAAGGTTTGATAAAGATGTTTAATTCATGCTGATTACACCGCTTTCATGAATGACATCCTTTCAAAGGGCTATGCAGAGAAAGTACCAGTTGTGGATCTGGAACGCAGTGACGGCAGGGTATGGTATATACCACACCATGGTGTATACCACCCAAAGAAG